AATTCCCCAGCCAGCATAGCTGGCTGGGGAATTCTGAGAGTTGAAGTCCACACATCTTAAATTGCCAAGATTGAGAAACACTGGTCTAAGGGATATAACTCTTTTTATGCACCTGTGTTTAATCTTTCACCTACCGCACATGGCTTACTCTGAAACAATGACTTCTTTCTATCTTAAAAACCAGGATGTCAACGCTTCTGATAGGAATGACTGGAAACCTATACACAATGCTGCTTTTTATGGCCGGCTCGGCTGCCTCCAGCTTCTTGTAAGGTGGGGAGCTACTTTAGATGATGCAGATAAAGATGGAAATCTTCCAGGTATGGTAGTGGAAATATCCTGTCATTCCAGTGAACCAGGGGACAGAGGAAGTGGGTGAACTTATTAATGGAGATAGCCAAGGGAGTTGGTGGCCTGTTCTATATTTGTGCTCTTCCCCAGCCAGAAGTAGGATTTCCTGTCTAGAGCTTTTGTGAAATGAATTGAGTGGATGAGTTTCAGGGACGCTACAGCATGGAGAGAAAGAATGAACTATTTACATGGTTTTGACTATTTCCAAGAAAAATCCTTTGGTTTTGATATTGCTCTTTCCTTTTGTTAACATAAATCCTTCCCCTCCATACACATGTTCAATGCATACAGATAATTGCCATCACTTCTGTTTTGATTCCAAATCTACCTACTTTTGGTTGACTTCCAGTAAGAATTGTACCATCCATCCATCCGTCCCCCTATCTCACCTTTCTATTCAGTTTGAGTACTCAAATCTGTTATTTGCTTAGTTAGGTGCCATCCAACCAGGTCTAAAACCTGGTAATTTCATGAACAACCACTCACCATTTCAACCTGTCTTTAGTAATACCTCATAGCTCTTTCAAGGACAGTCTTGTGATCTCCTTGATCTTGTCCATCTACCTTATCATTGGACAAAGAATTCTTTGTCCCTCAGCCTTGTAGGCCGTTTTTCTGATCCACCATCTCATGTCAAAAAATACAAGTTTCTGCTGGCTAATTATCACCTCAGAAGACTTTAATTTGGTCCAGCATTGAGTGATTTGTCTTACAGTCCATGCCACTCTTTTTCATGGTCTCCAAATCCATAATTCAAAGCAATCCATTATGCATAATCTATTGTGTCTGGGTTTTTTTTCCCCCTCTTCCTCTTATTCAGTGTCCAGATTTCACAGCTGTACCTTATCTCTGGAAAGGCTACCATTTTAACTGTTCTGATCTTTCCTACTACTGAAATATCATTATCCCAGTCAATAATATATAGTGCAGAATTTTTAAAAATGCAGTCTTCAAAGACACAATCAAACAAACTTCCATTCTCATTCATACATGACACACACACACACACACACACACACACACCATCTCTACCTTCTGGTACTCTACAGGGATTTCTACAATGTGGTGTCCTGCTGTGCGCTGGGATTACTGGAAGCACTCCCAGCAGGACGTGTTGTTAACCCAACATTTCTGGAAGGATTTGTTTAGTTTAGCTCAAATGTTGGATTAATCTTTCTTGTGTCACAGTTCATCTGGCAGCCATGGAAGGTCACCTGCACTGCTTTAAGTATTTGGTGAGCAAAATGCCCACATTGGTCCACTCCTTGAAAGCCCGGAATGACCATGGTGAGACTCCAAGGGATCTGGCCGAGAGGTTCTACAAGGAAACCATCCTTGTATACATTGACAGTCTACAGGAGGAGGCAGATCCATTGGACAAAGAAGAAAGTAAGTGAGGATGAGTTCCTTGGAAGGGAGAGAAATTGTGAGGCTAGGTCTTTGTTGTTCTCAAACGTCGTTCTCACTTTCACCAAAACTTGCAATACACAGGATCCAGGTTTTGTTGAATTAATTAACTTATTTATTTACCCAGACTTCTATGCTATTCCATTTGATCTAATCTGAAGGGCTTACACACCCTTAACTTTATTTTAACTAAACACTTTATTTTTAAAAGTTAAAGAATGCAATACAATCCCAAACAAGCAAAAAGAGCAATCATCTCAACCACTTATCCTACAATGCCATTTATTCATGAGAACAATCAATCTTCCATTCTCTCTCCATAGGCCCTCCTAAAGAGTCAGGTATCAAGCCCTAACAGCAAGTCACAGCTAAGAAAGCTAGATATTTATGAAATTTAATGATATTTATGAAATATCTTTAGTCAGGTGTACTGCAAGTTAAAAAGGGATTAGGTATTATGAGACCTTGGAAACTGGACATGTATACCTTCGCCCTCAATTAGCAGCAAGTATGTTAAGCAGAGCCTCCTTGATGTCATCGATTCTAATGCCTCTTCACTCAAGGAGGACATCACTGCTCATTTAGAAGATGTGAAAGGAATGTACATCTATTCTTGGTCTGCAGAGTTGGTTCACTAACACAATGGCTGTCATGGGGAGGGCTATCTATTCAAAGAAATGGCTACCTTGATTGGTCATAATGCCCTTCTCCCCCGCCTCCCCATTACAAGAAAGCAAACTCCTGGCGAGTTGCTCCTCACTACCCCTCAAAAGCATTATCTAAATTGGGCAACAATTATTTCTGACAGTAATTTGTCATTTCAGCCCCTCAAAATGAGAAATATCCAAGTAATTAATAATCAGGGTATACCAATGCATCTTTAAAAAGCTGTATTATTTCAACAAACATGGTGAGTCACAAGAATACTAAAAAGACAAGGATTCTTAAACTTCCTGGTACCATGAACCCTTCAAATTTGAAATAGGATTGACCTCATCACATTGATATCATAGATTCAGGAAACTGCAAAAGTTATACTGAAACCTTTGAAAAGTGTGGTGGTTTTAGAAAGTATGATGGAAAAAATCTTCCAGATAAAACTGTGATTTGGGCTGGACTTTGGCTAAAAGTTAGAGAATTTGGTCCTGATTGTTCTACTCAGATAGTTGAAGGCAGAAGAAGAAATAATTTGATACCTTTCTTGACTGTGGATGGTGAAAGTATGAGTTCTTGGGCCATTTTTTAAAAATTTAATCCTTCCCCTTGGGAAAAATATTGTTAATATTGTACACAGATAATCAAAATAAGTTTAAAAGCATTGCTAGCTAAAATGCATCAGCTGCAATCCTAAACTCCTTGGCCCCACTTCTGCTTAGAACTGGGTTCATGATGTAATACAGTTTTGTGCCCAGACTCCTACAGATCTAAACTGTCATCCCAAAATTAAAGTTATGCACATTGAGTTTTATTCAGAGTTAAATTCTTCATTAGCTCCTTAAGTCCCAATACTTTCAATACAATTAAAGATATAAATTCTAATTTTCCCTGCTTTGCCTGGATATGCTCTAAGCTTTTTTCTTTACTCTTCTTGGATAAAGTTGAGTCTCTGGATATAGTGGAAAAATGGGAGGTTTTGGCTTAGTTATAACATGAGTGATAATTTAACCAAGAACTTGACCAACTGGCTTGATCAGTGTTTCTCAACCTTGGCAGCTTG